TCTGAGATGAAGCACAGGGGGCACGTGACTCTAGCCCCGCTCCTGGAGCACCCGGCCAACAACTCCAACAGCACAGGCCGCCGGACGGAAGCAGCATCCCGAACGCTCCTTGCCTGGCGCTTCCGGGTGCTCGCCCAGCCGGCGCCGGCCACTGTCTCGTCGAGGAGGAGGAGGAGGAGCAGGAGGAGGAGGAGGAGGAGGAGGAGGAGGAGGAGGAGGAGGAGAGGAGGAGGAGGAAGGAAGGGAAGGAGGATAATGGAGGAGGAAGAGGGAAAGGTGGAGATGGAGGAGGAGGAGGAGATGGAGGAGGAGGAGGAGGAGGAGGAGGAGGAGGAGGAGGAGGAGGACCGCCTCGCGCGCTGCCTGGCGCCGTGGGGTGCTCGGGCGGCGGCCGCCCGCCGTCGTCCCGCCGCCGCCCCGCGCGCGGGCCGGCGGCCGGCGTCTTTCCCGGTCTTTCCGCTCGGTGGCCGCCCGTCGCCGCCGCCGTGCGCTGCATCTCGCAGGCGCCGGCAGGCGTGGAGCACCACACAGCGAGTGGCTGCAGTGCAACGCTCGCGGTTATAGGGGAACAATAGATGACATAGGCATGAAAACTGGGAGGTCCGCGCGGATTTATCGGAACGGGCGCTGGGCCCCCCTCCCTGGCGCGAGGGGCGGCGCCAGAGGCGCCGCCAGGGGGCCCCAGCGCCGATCCGAGAAATTCGCGCGGACCTCCGATATTTTATGTTTATGTCACTTTTGTTCCCCTAGTGGTGCAAACTATATGGCGGAACGCATCATCCATCCCCCCTCCCGCCCCCCCCCCCCTGTTGGCAACATGCTATCACTATCCGCCCCTGAAGGCGAGAATCCGCCCCCAGGGCCCTCGGTGCGGGATCCCACCAAGATCATTAGAGGATCCTAACAAAACTTCCTCCTCCAAAAAGGTACCACCAAGATCATAACTGGATCTCACCAAAACCATAATAGGATCATAATGACATCCCACCCAAACCATTGATACATGAAAGGGCCAAACCGAACCGATAACCGTATCCGAACCGGACCGAACTGGACCAAATCAAAAACCGAGTTGGACCGAACTGAATTCATTCCGAACAGACGGGGGCAACCGAACCGAACCATAACCGGAACCGGCCCGAACCAGGCGGCCCCCGAAGAGAACCGACGGGAACCGAACTGGACGTCCAAATCCAGCCCACACAGGACCGCAGCACAACGACCCCCCGTACCCCAACCACCCCGGAAGACGACGAGGCTTGAGGCAGCCAGTGCCCAAACTTGAGCCAACATGTGCAAGCGGTAGCGATGATGACCATGACGAATATGACGACGACGCGGCAGGTCCAGGCAGGTCGGGGCGGGTCGGGTCGGGGCAGGTCGTCCGCGGCGGAAAGCAGGAGGGCGGGCCCCTTTAGCGGCCCCCCCCGCGCGAGGGCGGGGGGCCGCCGCCGGGGTACCCGGGTTCCCGCGGGAACCACCCCACCAGCAGTCCACTGGCCACCCCCCTTGGCGACCCCTCCCGTCGCGACCGCCCCGTCGCGATCCCCCCGTGGCGATCCCCCCCGTGGCGATCCCCCCCCCGTGGGGACCCCCCCCCCCGCCGCGACCCCCCCGTCGCGATCCCCCCCGTGGCGACCACCCCTGTTGCGACCCTCCCCCGTCGCGACTTCCCCCCGTGGCGGCCCCTCCCATCGCGACCCCCCCGCGTGGCGACCCCTCCCGTCGCGACCCCCCCCCCGTCACGACCCCCCCCCCGTGGCGCCCCCCCCCCCGTGGCGACCAAAAACCTCCTCGAACCCAGCACCTTGAACCTGCCCCCCCCTTGAGGTATCTCCGCGGCGAGTGAGAGGTGGGAAATGAGAAGGATAATGCCTTCTCAGAAGGCGGCAGGACTCCTCAAAGCCCTCGCGCGTTCTGAAAGTTGTGTAAATATTCGGGGAAGGCTTAGAAAACTTCTCAGAAGGCCGTGGGACTTCCGAGCCTTCTGAAAAAAAAGGCCCACCCCTTCTCACTTCGCCCCCTCGCTCGCCGCCGCCGGGTCCTCTCGTCGTGCCCCAGAGCCCGCGCCGCGGCGTAGCCGACGGCGCCGCCGATGGCGTGCAGCAGGACGCAGGCGAGCTGCAGGGACAGGCCCGCGCAGCGGACGGCCGCCGCGCAGGCCGCCACCGCGGCGCCTGAGGGAGGACATACATTACGTTCGTTGTTTGTTTAATGTGTGTTGTTTGTTTGTTTGCTTGCTTGCTTGCTTGCTTGGTTGGTTGCTTGCTTGTTAGTTTGTTTGTTTGTTTGTTTGTTTGGTTGGTTGGATGGTTTGTTGTTTGTTTGTTTCTTCGTTGTTTCTTGTCTTTCATCTGGAAACCTACTTTTGTCACGATGTTGGCGGATTAGCGGCAAATGGCGGCAACCGTCACTATACTGGTTTACCTCCAGGGCTGCCAGCATACCCCCAGGCCCCGAGAGATCTGCAAACACGCTTCCGAGAGGCCCCCGCGAGGCCTCCCCCAAAAACCTATACATGCATGACAATGTGGTAGGCGTCCTTTGGCCTTGCCGCATGCTCCCCGGCCTTCGGCCGGGGCGGGCTAGGTCAGCCCGCTCAGAGGCCGCCGTGGCAGTGCAGCGCTGCTGCTAAGCGCCGTGCCTGAGCTTCAGCCCGAAGACCCTCCACCGCCGGAGGAGGAGGGGGCGCCGACCTGGCCGCCGCCGTGGCCGCCGCCGAATTGGGTTAGCTCGGGCATGTCCCCCTACAGGCAGATATTGGAGGACAAAAAAAGATAAAAGAATACTAGAAAAATCGTTCCCACGCTATTTTGGACTAATTTTGAAGATTCCTCCTGTCGAGGGACATACCGACTTAAGAATGGGAGGGTGGGGCGGGGGTGACACACTTCCGACGACGCCACCGCGCTGACGCTGGCGCCCGGCTGGCGACACGACTGGACACCAAAGCCTTCCATCCCGCCACCCGGGAGGCATCGGGGGGGAGGGAGCGGGACACAGCACAGGCGCGGCAGAAGACACGCTTCCACCGGTCGCCGCAGAAACCGCTTCCGCCGCTTCCCGTCTGGACGCTGCCACCAGCCACCGCCGCGGGGCACCAGGGCCACCAGTTCTGCCCTCCGCGGACGTGCTTCCACCAGCCGCCGCAGGCGCAGCTTCCGCCGACTCCGTCCCAGGCGCTGCCATCCACCACAGAGGAGCTCCGGGGCCCCCGGGAAAGCCCTATCGGGTCCGCTGCGTTGCAGCACCTCTATGACCTGGAAAGCCAGCTGCGCCGCCGCGATCTGCAGCTGCGCCCGCCGTCGCGGATTAGAGAGCGCCTGGTGCGTGATCCAGTCAGACTTGGCCGTCACCCAGGGCTGCGCTCCCGACCACCCCTGGGACACTGCCAATGGTCGTACCTCCAGCGGGAAGGGTCCGCGGGCAGTCCGCCCAAAAGTGACGGGCCGAAGCCCGGTCAGAACCGCAACAAGGGTAAGACTGCAGACTACCCCAACAAGGCTCAAAACGTCCGCGGTCTTCCTGGGGGGGCCTCACTCACGACCCTCCAGTCAGGGTCGGCGGAAGCGGCTGTAAGGCCTCTGCATCGACAGCAACCGACTGGCGGCAAATAGCGGCACACGCCCCGCGCCAGCCGCCGCCCAAACCACCCCCTATTTGCCGCTGGTGGCCGCTAAAACGGCAAACACATACTGTCGGCGAAACGCATGATGGCTTCCACGAAAACATACCTAACTGAAGGTGCCCAAAGACACACACACACACAAACACACACACACACACATCAACACACACAAATCCCAGGATTCCTCATACCTTTCCATATATTATGGGGTTTCGCCATCCCCCCCACTTCCCGTGTTTGTCCGTTTTCCTTCGGGATCGACGATTGATGGTGTCTGTGTGTTCCTTCCCCTCCTGACTAACACAATGGCGTAAGCATGCGGTCGGAACATGGCCACAGGAGCGCAGGTCAAGAGAGCGTGAGCCCCTTCGCCGAAGTCCCAGGGCTCTCCGCGGAGGTGCCGAGATACCCAAAGCGAAGACCATCCCAAGGCGAGAAGCCCAAACACGACACACGAAGAGCACGAGGGCAGCCCCACCCACAGTTGCGGAGAGAGGTTCGGGGGCGGTGCAGCGGATCGCCAGCAGGCTGCGAGGCTCGAAGGCACACGTGGTGAAGCCCGCCGGAGGCACCGGCGTGCCACAGGCGTCAGCTATTTTGCGCCAAGCGATTTCCTTGCACATCCCACAACGAGCGTGCCGCAGGCGCCGATTTCTTCTGTCCACAAACGTGGGTGGGTCGCGGATGAGTCGTCGCGGGCGGATCGCAGGCGGGTCGCGGGGTGGGTCGCGGAATGGGTCGTTGGGTGGCCTGGTGGGTCGCGGGTGGGACGACGACGACAATGAGCAATCATAATCCAGGCTACTACGGAATCCCGCTTCACCCACGCATCCAGGGATGGTGTAAGACCGTTCGGCCCCCTCACTCTGACATAAGAGCGTGGGTGCGGGCCTAAATTCTCGACGTCGGCGATGCTCGGAGGGTAAGAGCGGAGAACGCGAGGGTTTGTTTGGGCCCCAGGCCCCTCTGGGGCCCCTTAGATCTTGCCAACATCGGCGCCTTTTCCCCAAAAACGCGGACCACAGCATCCCTGCTATGATCGCGATCGACAGAACATCGGCCAGCGCCCAAACAACCTCCGGAGGTCCGCGCGGATGTCTGGGGTCTGCGCTGGGGCCCCCTTCCTGGTGCGTGGAACGCGCCAGGGGCGGCGCTGGAGGCGCCGACGGGGGGATTCCGGCGCAAGCCCGAGAGATCCGCGCGAAATTCCGACAGTTTTTTTTTGTGTCGGAAAAGATTCAGGAGGGGAAAAAACACACAGACACAATTAATCGTCGGTTCCCCAGAACATATGGGAATATATGGGAAGTGGGCGGGATGCCAAACATCAGAAACATATGGGAAAGTATAGGGAATCATTTTATCTGTGTGTCTTTATTTGTGTGTCCTGGGGCCCCTTCAAAGATCGCTTTCCTTGTGCGAGCACCGACGTTCGCGGCCCCGGCCAGCACGCCGACGGCGGGCGAGACCCTCGCCGCCGCGGCGCAGCTGCGCGGGGCCGCGGCGTTCAGGGCCACGCCCAGCAGCACGGGGGCGATCACCACCTGCAGGTTGGAGGCGACCATGCCGCCGGCGTCGATCGGGATGTGCCGGAGGCGACGATGGGAGCGAATAGCCGGGGAGAGAGCAGTGAGTGTATCCAGGGGCTTCGATGGTCCGTGCCTTCGGCGAGGCTCCCGGCCGAATGCATGGAATGCTCGCCCCTGGGCCAGTCGCCCCCATCAGCGCCTCCGAATGCGGGCTCCCAGCAGCAGTACTGCGATGGCCGGCGTCGCCGCGATGCAGACCACCGTGGTGGACAGGGTCATCAGGACGCTGAGCGCCACGTCGCCCCCCGCGATGAAGGTGAGCAGGTTGGAGGACTGCCCGCCCTGCAGCGCTCCCAGCCTTGCTGCCCCGATACGCAGCACGCAATACGTAGGGTATTCATACGGAGCTCAACGCGTAGACCGAAAACGTAGGTCTGACGCGATGCGTTCGCCCAAACGTGGGCCAATACGTTGAGCCAGCACGCAACGTGTTGACACGGACGTTTTGAACACGGTACGTGCTGCGTCCCAAAATGGGCGCATCAAGGCAGCTAAGCTCCCAGCAGCACGAGGCCCGCCAGAGTCGCGTCGCCCGCGCCGATGAGCTTTGCCAGGGCCAGCGCCACCAGCGGCATGGCCCCGAAGCAGATCGTGGCGTTCAATACCACGAGGTCCAGCCTGGAGGCGCACGCCCTGAAGTCGTCGACGGTCGTCGTGAGCGCCGCGCTGAAGACGATCAGGAACAGGTTGCAGGCTATCGCCCTGGCGTCGGCCCAGGCGAAGAGGGCCGGGGACCACAGCGCGAGCCCCGTCGCCAGGGTGCACCAGAGCGCCGAGAGGCTGCAGAAGCGCGACGCCCCGCGCGCGAGCCACCCGCCGCCGTCGCACCCCCCGGTGGCGCACCTGCACGAGACCGCGCCGCTCCTCCAGGAGGGCGCCAGCCACAGTCAGGACAAAGGCAGACGAACGTACTACAAGAACATGGGCCCCTCAGCCGGCAGGGAGATCCAGAAACGCACGCTTACCGAGGGTCCCTTCCGAGGTCTCACCTGACCTTCGCTGCCTGGCCAATCTGGGAAGCCATAGTGAACCCCAGCCTTGACCAATTGAACGAACAAAACTGTCGACCTGACGATCACTTGAGGGTATTCTTCCCTGTGTTGCGCAAAACCCTCCCCAAACCGAGCATGCTCTTACGCCACGCTCCGACCGTACACGTGCAGCTGGGTCCGCGCTCCGCGCTCCGCGAAGCGCGAACAACTCCGCGCTCTCGCGCCAACTCCGTGGGCGAAGAGAAGTACGAGGAACATGAGGGAGGGGGAATCGCGAACCGCGAAGGGCTTCGCGCCCTCGCGGCGGCCCCTGGCTACGTTTACAGAAAAACAGCGGGCGCAGGCGAGCCGAAGCAGGTGCAGGCGCCCCTCGGTCTATGGGGGGGACGCGCCGGAAGCGAATCGGGGCACGGCGGCACGCGGGGAGAGCAGAGGAGAGCTTTTTGTTTGTTTCTCCCTCGCAGCAGACACCCATTGGTTTCTGCCCCTGCTCCGATACAACCTTGCAAGATCGGCTGCTTACAACTCCGGCTCATGCCAAAAGTACAAGCAGCACCGGCCACAGTTCTCGGTGGCAACTCATGGAAGCCTCCCATACCATCTTGCCAGCTCTTGCGAATCGACGCTAATCGACGCTAGCGACGACATTGAGACGCCACATCAGGCTCCCATGACCTGCTACCGAACACAGTGAGGTCGAGGGAAGAGGGGATGGGACCCGGAGGAGTCCCTGGCTACACCCATGCCGCCGAGCCTGGCCGGACCACCCTGGGCTTAGGTCGGGCGCGTCCTCTTACAGGCGGATTTTGAGCGAACCATTAAACATAGTTGAACAATGTGCGGCAATTGTCGAAAATAAAAGGGGAACCTCCACCTCCTCCTCCTCCTCCTCCTCCTCCTCCTCCTCCTCCTCCTCCTCCCGCCTCCTCCTCCTCCCGCCTCCCTCCTCCCTCCTCCCTCCTCCCTCCTCCCTCCTCGTCCTCGAGCTCCCCCCATCGAGGATTGGGGGGGGCGAAAAAGGTACCGTGTCCGCGATCTCTTGGGCCTCTCCCTGGGTGCGATTTCAACCAACATTTCGAAGCGAAACCAGCCGTGGCAACGAGAGAATCCCAGGAAAACTGGGAAGGCAGAGCGGCCAGAAAACAGGGGAACCTCAGGAAACGAGGGAACCCCAGGAACCCCAGGAAAACTCCAATCGAATTGACACGAGCAGCTGACGCCCCCCATTGACGCTCCTCAGAATATCGCCGCGAATCGATACGACACTGTTCCACAGGGGCCGCATCAACACAAACATGCCGAACACAACGCCTCAGAAAAAAAACGCCGCCGCTCTCTGCAGCTCCGCACTGCCGACGACCTTTCAGCCACTCGACCGCGGTGCGCAATGTGGGCCGGCGGAATGGGCGAAGCGATTGTAGAAAAGGGAAATATTCCCCAGACTTTTTCTTTGTGCGTGACTATCTTTGAGCGCTCCTCCTGCAGAGGGGCCCGCCCGACTCCACCTTGGGCCCAAGCCTGCCGCGGCCCCCCCTCAGGGCCTGGGCTGGGAGAAGGGCGCGGCACCGCCGCTCCTGGGCACGGCATCGGCCTGGCCAGGATCGGAACCCTGGGGATCTGGGAGGAGGAGGAGGAGGAGGAGGAGGAGAAGGAGGAGGAGGAGCATGAGGAGGAGCAGCAGGAGGAGGGGGGGGGGAGGGGAAGTAGAAGGAGGAGGGAGTAGGAGGGGAGGAGGAATACGGAGGAGGGGGAAGAGGAGGAAGGAGGAGAGAGGAGGAGGAGGACCCGGAGGAAGAGATAGAGGAGAGGAGGGATACGGAAAATGAGGGGGGAGGAGGAGGTGAGGAGGAGGAGGAGGAGGAGGAGGAGGAGGAGGAGAGGAGGAGGGGGCGGAAGGAGGAGGAGGAGGAGGGGATGAGGAGGAGGAGGAAGGAAGGAGGAGGAGGATGAGGAGGAGAGGAGGAGGAGGAGGAGGAGGAGGAGGGAAGCGTACCACGACGACGACGACGACGTCCCCTACCCGCGGCGCGCCTCGGCGATGGGCGCCGCGAGGCGCAGCTCGCGGACGGCAGCCGCAGCCGCATCGAGATTCACTATAGGGTCGAAGAGAGAGGCAGAGGGGAGGTGACGAAGAGAGAAGTAAACGTGACAGGCAATGAACACTTCCTGCAGAACAGATGCGGTGCAAATCGGGATCCCCCACCTGGCCAATGGGTCAGACGCAGGCCATCTATAACGCAGCACGGTTGCGTAGTGAATCTGACGAGCAGGCTCCCCCTCGCAGCCAAAAATGCAACCCCTACGATCGCCCGCACTCAGGGCACGGTGGGAGGTCAGCCAGGCTCCGCTCAGAGTTCGATGCCGCGGCCACGCCCATGACGGAGGGACCGAACGGAGGACACCCTGGATGCTGGGCCAGTCGATGGCCTTGATTTCATCGGACCTATCGGGCCACCACTTCAGAAGACGAGATTCGTACAACTTGCTCGCGCTACTCTGGGGCCAGCATTGGATACAGGCTAATTTCGCAGCCCTCTGGATCTTCAGAACATTTTCGCGACAGGCGGCGGCAGCAGCAGCGTGCATAGGGCCTCCGACTCCGTGGTCAGCCTCGTGCAAGAATTGAACGAACGCTCGGCGCTTCCAGTGCCGTGGGTACCGCTGTCCAGCTGGCACCACAGTCAGGCGGCACTCGTCAAGCTCACTGGACATGGGTGTGTGTGTCATCCTCAAGAGCTAACGGTATATTCGTTCATACTGAGGTAACGTCGACCGGGCCGTCCGAGCAAGAGTCGAAATACTCAGTACCTCAAGCGGGCAAACCCGCGGAGCATTCCATTCTTGCAGATACGCCCAGTCCCGAGCACGGAAAGCACCGAGCGGAAGACGGAACGCCTGGGCCAGCGCCCCATTCTCAGCGTCCTTCATAGCTGTCGGCAACGGCAGAAACTGCATGACATAGCTGAGGACAGCGACCGCACGCGTTGAGTACAGGGCCGCAGAGGAAGATGCAGGGGTATTGCCAGCACCTATAGCAGCAACACGGGCTCTATATTTTTTCGCGGGGAAGATTCCAGGAGCCGGTAAGCTCAGTCGAAGGGCCAATCCACACCCCCAGGTAAAACATTTTAGGTTCGACGCGGAACTCGGATCACCCAGGGATCAACATGTTCAGGAACTTTTAGACCTGGTCTTTCAGCTCGGGCGTAAATGGGCCAGGAACGGGGGTCAGGACACATTTCGCTGGCTTGAGGCAGAGATGCGCGGTCATCTCCACTACTTTCATCACTCGCCGAAGCTGCAGCAGCAGGCGGATGTCCGACAAGGCTCCACCCAGGTCGTCAGCGCATGCACGGTTGATGCCCTTCCGCGGGACCTCGAAACTGCGGTTGAGGTCGAGTAGAGCAGGGGTGAGGGCAATCGCGAAGAGCGAGCCAGAGAGAGCACATCCTTGGGCAATCCCAGAACGGATCCAGAACGCGCGAATCAGAACCCCCTGGGCCGCCATCACTCCCTCGATGCAATCATACAGTGACTGGACAAACCTCAGGAACCCAAGCGGGCGCCCCATCTTCTTCAGCACCCGAGCCGCGAATTCTTGGGACAGGCTGGGGAACGCGTGGCCGTAGTCCAGGGCATACAGCATTGGACAACGGCCATCGGCCTCTGGGCGGGCAGAGCGTGCACGAGCGAGGGCGTCAACTTCTAAGATGTTCTGGCAAAAGTGCCTACCCTTCATGAACCCATGTGGGTCCTGAGGAACGAAACGATCGAGCGGTTTTCTGATCGACATAATCATAATGGCAGCACGCAGTTTGATACTGGTATTTCGAAGCCCAAGGGCACGCGCCGACGAAGCTTCTCTTTCACAGTCGCCCTCCCTCGTATCAGTGCTAGACTCTCCCTTGGGTAAAAAAGGCTTGCAGCGTGGCGCTCTCGGCGGCAGGGGTGCTGTAACCAGCCATCATCCACCGCAGTGGATCATGCAACAGTAGCAGACCGCTCGGGTGCGCCAGCCAAGCCGCATAACACGAGCGATCAACCCCAGGAGCTGAGTCGCTCACTGAGCGTGCCACTTTCTTCAGCAAAGCGAACGACGGAGGCGGGCAGTCGGCGAAGTCGACGGAGCGAACGAAGCGGTCGCAATAAGCACTGGCAGTTTTGCACGGCCACGGTTTCCTGGAAAAGATCGGGCCCCAATGCGATGCAAGAGCAGCATGTCGGTCTTGCCCCTCCTCCTTCCTCTGGCCCTCAGCAAGCGCAGCGCGAAGCGTGAGACGACGAGCGAACGGTGCCCAAATCCTCGCCCTCCTCTCGATAGCTTGAATCTGCTGACGTTCTCGCTGACGCCCCCCCCCCCCCCCCCCCCCCCCCCCCGCAGCAGCGCGTTCGAGACGGGCACGGGCAGCGAGCCGATCGAGGTTAGCAGCCGGAAGTTGCACCTTGTTTGTCCAGCTCTGGAAAGCCGCTGGATGAGTAAGTGAGACGTGGCCACCCTTGATTGTGACGAAATCAGCAGCTGCGGCATGGGGGCCCAGAAATCGCTCGGCCGCGGCCGCGTCCTGGCGCCGCACCGTCCGAGCCAGTGCACGCGCTAACAACAAAAGAGTGCGGGGGCCCGTCGGCTTGCGATACATCAACATGCCCCGCGCTTTCCTCCCAGCTGCCTGCGTCGAGTATTTCTGTCTCATCAGCCGCCGAGGCGGGCGCGTAGCCGAGAGAGAGGCCTCCTCCGCATCAAGAAACTTGGCGAGACACTGTTTATTGTCTGGCGAGCAGCAGACATGCCAAGGAATCGGGCGCTCTCCTGGTTCCTGAGGCTTCTGCTGGTATGTCGAAATAATTAATGCAGCATGATCGCTGACTTTGGCTCGATGAAGATTTTCGGGCAACCCCTCCACGCGAGCGGACGCATGCACCTGAGCGAGGACCCAACCAGGCCAGGAGCACCAGAATCTGTCAATTGCGGCCACGGCCTCTGTCTGCGCATCGCAATGAGTCGCTGACGCCGGCGAGATCCCCACCGGGCCATCCAGCGCGTCAGCCCATCGGGGGGCTTTGGCGTGAAGCGGCCGAGAGATCCTCTGAGCCTCCGAAGGCTGCGAAAACGAAAGCTGTTCCTCGGGCGCAAAATTGAAATCGCCGTGCACCACGACTAAAACCGATTCAGGAGACGATTCGGCCAGGGTCCGATCTCGACTTATCTGTCTGCACACGTACCTTACTTGTTCTGAGGGCAAACCATGGTTATGCACGTTATAATGGATAAGCTGCGTGTCTTGATTTTTGAAGACGACTCGGGGCACGCGGCCATCGACGAGAGCGAGAGGGGCGGCGGAGACGCCAGGAGGCAGGGAGGGAAAGCGGCGGCCTCTAGTCAGAAGCCCTGGGACGATAGTGGCAACCCCACCACGGATCCGTCCCGCACGGTCCTCCCCACAGAAGCTTGAGTAGACCAGAGCTCCAGGGAGAACACGTCTAAGAAAAGGAATGAGCTGTGCCTCACACTGATGGGCCTCCTGCAGAGCGGTGACTGTCGAGCCCAGTCGGGGCCTCTGGAGGTAATATAATTTCTCGCATGCACGAGCCCCCTCATATTGCAGGAGAGCACGCGTGTTCCACGACGTGAAACGCAGGCCGCCAGCTGTGGCAACATCGCACGAAAATGGCAGCTGCGATCGTGCGAAGAGCGCAGCGAAGCGGCTAAAGGCAACACTGCGGCTCCTGATCAGGCTGGAGCACCCCGCCCACAGCCTCAACCAGCAAGTCCTTCGACTTGCCGTACTTCGCGATGGGGCCTGGGTTCCGAAGGATCTTTGTCTCCCCGCGCCCAGGGAAAACCTCGATCTTGCACGGGGCATCCCAGCCGAGCGAGAGCCACCCACGGTCTCTGTCGAAGAAGATCTTCTGCTCACTGCCGTAGGCCTCCTGCAGCTTGGCACGCAGCTTCCTACCCGTGATCTCCGCCTCGATCTGCTTCGGATTCTTGTCGCCCGAGATGTGCAGACGCGTCGTGCCACCCGCCTGCGTTTGAACCTCGAATTCACGCCACTGCGTGCCCGAGACGCGCAAGCCGCTGAGGATCTACTGCGCACGCCTGGATGCCAGGCCTGTCGCCCCTGAGATCTGCAACACGAGCAACTTGGCCAGCGGGTCAGGCGAAGATAACGACCACATGCCCCCAGTGATCTGCATCTCCTCCAGCCACGGCGTGATGACATTACATACTTCCTGCCGTTGGACAAGACGTCCAGCATTGATCTTGACGATCGTCGCATCGACCTCTCTCTCTCGAATGAAGCGTTGCCAGCCAGCGCATTCGGAGCAGGGCGCTGGGAATTGGCGACAACCAATGCCGCCTGGAGCTCCTTGATCTGGTTTTGCATCTCACCCAGCAAACGATCGTGCTCTGTGACCTTCGCGTCCACCTGCATGATCTCTCCGCGGATCTCGTCGCAGCGCTGCAAAACCTCCGTGCGCAGCGTTTAGGAATGACCACGGCCATGATCTGTTGGTCCATTCTCTTCGGGAACTCGTCCATGTCTTTCTTGCACGCCGCCATGCACCTGTCGAATTTCGCCTGGAACGCAGCCGTGATGGATGCCGTTTCCTCCTGCAGTGCCGATTTGACCGACGAGCCTACAATCTTGTCGGCCTCCAGCTGCACGTCGTGGAAGCGGGTGTTGACCACGTCGAAACACAGGGCGCGCACATGTGCGTCGTCGAAGTCGGCGTCACTGTCCTCTGCGTCCATGCTGTGGCGCTCAGGTTGGCCTGGGGAGCCCCCAGCCGAACCAGTGCCAGCAACAGCACCGCGAGCAGCAGAGCGACGGGGAGGTCCCTTGGGCGGCTTGATGACCTTTTTGCTCGGTGTGCCAGGAGCAGCGTTACCCCGCGGGGTAGAGGGCGTCGACGAGGATGCATTCCCACCAGCGGACATGAGCGGAGCGACTATGGTGCGGGAGAGAAAGCTGCTAAGGTGCGGGGGCCCAAACCCCGCAGTGAAGGCGCAGAGAAATGCCAGGCAGAGCTGCCTTGCCAGCCGCGGACTAGCGGTATCCGTTTTGGCCCCAGGGGAACCTGTCATCTTGAGCCTAAATGGCTACGGAGGAGGAGGAGGAGGAGGAGGAGGAGGAGGAGCAGCAGCAGCAGCAGCAGCAGCAACAGCAGCAGCAGGAGGAGAACTGCTTTGTGTCTCTCCGGGCCCTTCAAATCTAGCCTCCCGGCGTTGTGAATTCGGCCCGGCCGCCAGCCGGGCCCAGACGACGGGCGGCGACGAGGCGGCGACGGGGCGGCGACGGCGACCACGGAACCGCCAGACCGCCAACCAGGCCCAGTTCCGTAGAACAGACGTCGGTCAGTTCCGGAGGAGGGGGAGGAGGAGGAGGAGGAGGAGGAGGAGGAGGAGGAAGACCCCAGGAGGAGGAGGAGGAGGAGGAGGAGGAGGAGGAGGAGGAAGAGGAGGAGGAGGAGGAGGAGGAGAAGGAGGAGGCCCAGTTCCTCCTCTTCCTCCTCCTCCGCCAACCAGGCCCAGTTCCGTAGAACCAGGCCCAAAAGACCCCAATTGCAAGCACTGCTTGGGGCATATCGGACAACAGGACATGGAAGGGAAGACGGAAATCCATGAAGGATGTACAAGTGTGGGGGGATCTGGAAATTCGTAGACTGTTTTGCGTCTCTCTGGGCCCTTCAAAGATGTAGCCTCCCAGCGTGAAAAAACATGGGGGCCCAAGACCCGGCCGTGTAGCCTTCGGCGCCGGGGGAGGCGGCAGGGCCGCTGCGTGTCGTTGCCCCGAGCGTGGTTCGGAAAAGGGTGCCCATGCCGCTGCCCTTGCCTCCATTTCGCCCCGTTGGGCCTCCTACAGGAGGCCCTCGTCGCCACAGCCGGCTCCGCCTCGAAAGCGGGATCAGAACGCAACCCGGGAACAGTGCCTGTTTGTCACCCTTCCCCTGGAGCGCGCTGCCAATCCTGCTCCAGACCCGCGCCCGCCTCGCACGCCACGAACGGATCCGAACCAGAATCGTCAGAGCGGGGCGGGCTGAGACAACGGTAGCTCCCAAATCGGTCCCTGGACCCTTCCTGGGGTCCAAACGCACCAATTCTCCGAGCTGCATCCCGCCGTGGCGACCAGGGGGCCCCCCGAAGACCAACGACCGTTGTCTCACGTCGCCGTCCCCTGAGATCCGACGTTGCGCAAAAACTGCAGCATCGCAACCAACAAAACGACAGGAACTCTAGACTCCATTTTTCTGCGGCATGCCTCGAGCTGGATCGACCTGTGATGGTCGCGGGGCCGAAGCCTGGCGAAAACGTCCGTCGTGCAAAAAACGCGACGCCAGGATTGCAGAGTCCTCTGAAGATGAGGTCGGGAACTGTTGCTCAGCGTGTCGCAGCGGCGGGCCCAGCGACTGCAAACGGACAGCGTGTCGCTCCGCTCCGCGGGGCGACACGCTGGGAAAGGCTCGGGGCGGTAACTCCTGGGGACCGGGAAGTGGATAGCGCGCCGCCTCAGCGCGACGGGCCAGAACTGGCGGCGCGACACGCGAAACCGAAGCTCCCGACCGTGGTTATCCCCTCCTCCCCCTCCTCCTCTTCCTCCTCCTCCTCCTCCTCCTCCTCCTTCTCCTCCTCCTCCTCCTCCTCCTCCTCTTCCTCCTTCTCCTCCTCCTTCTCCTCCTCCTCCCCTCCTCCTCCTGCTGCTCCTCCTCCTGCTGCTGCTCCTCCTCCTCCCAGATCCCCAGGGCTCCGATCCTGGCCAGGCCGATGCTGGGGCCAGGCCGATGCCGAAAATAAAAGAGGACATCCACCTCTCCTCCTCCTCCCTCCTCCTCCCCTCCTCCTCCTCCTTACACCTCCTCCTCCCCCTCCTTCTCCTCCTCCTCCTCCTCCTCCTCCTCTTCCCCCTCCTCCTCGGAAGAGGAGCCCCCGATCCTCGGCTGCGCCGCCGCCGCGGCGCGCCGCCTCGGAAACGCGCACCCCGCCTTGGCGGCGCGCACAGGGGGGTACGGCAAGAAGGGGGGTACGGCAAGGGAGGAAGCCTTCTTAGAAGGGGGCTGCTTCTAGAAGGCGTGCCGAGGCCATACACGTATAGAGAAACACAGGCGCCTTCTAAAGCATCAAAAAAGCAAAAAACAAAACAAACATCAAAATGCACAAAAAAACACAAAAAAAAGAACAAAAAACAAACAACTAAAAATCAACGCACACAAAAGCACAAAAAAAAACATAAAACAAGAAACAAAAAAACCAGCAAAAACATCATGCACCGGGTGGTTCTAAGAAGCCTTCCCCCTTCCCCTCTGCCCCCTCTGCGCGTGGTCGACCGCCGCCGCGGCTGCCGCGAGAGTGCGCCGCCGCGGCTGCCGCGCAGGCGCGGCGCCGCGGCGTGCGCCGGCAGGCCGCCGCGCCGCCCGGGCGCCACGGGGCAGCGGCGCCGCCAGCGCCATGGGCGCCCTGGGCGCCGCAGGGCGGAGCATCATTGGGCCAACCCTGCGGCATGCTGGGGCCAACTGGGACTGCCTTTAGGGACTACCCATCGGTTGGAAGATTGGAACACGGGATTCCCAAAGTGCCCACTTTCAACGACCGATGGTTACCTGGGGAGGCCGCCTGTGCGCAACCCGACGCCTTCCAATCCTCCGCCCCCCGTTCGCACTTCCTCATGTAGCCATCCGCGCTCAGTCACGCGTGGCCGCAAGGCTCGAGTAGGGGATCGACTACAGAATCCCACCAGCCCTGTGGGCGCAGGTGGTCTAGGGCGTTCCCTTTTCCAACCTACTTCCTTTCCCTGCTTGGGAAGTTTACCTCCCCCCCCCTCCATGCGTTTGGACGGGGGGGGGGGGGGGCGACCCATAGCAGCGTCCAAGATGGCCCAAATGGCTCCAAGAGGGCCTCAGAGAGCGCAAGATGGCCTCCAATGTGGCCCAAGATAGCGGTAGATGGGTCAAGATAGCCTCCGACACACGTCCAAGAGGCCTCAAGACGGCCCCAAGACGGCTTCAAGTGCTGTCCGAAGCCTCCGAGGACCCCCCACAAACCCAAATTTCTTCAAAAACCGACGGAAAACCATGTTGTTTGCCTTCTCGCTTTTTCGCCTCCGATTAGGTTTAGAGGCCCCAAGATGGCCCCAAAACCACAGAACCGAACCACGAACCGCATAACCGAACCGACCGAGGGAGAACCGACGGAACCGGAACCCGTCAGAACACCGACGTGAACCGAAACCAAACCGAATCGGAGGCGGTGGAACCGAACCGGGCCCGAGCCGGGAACCGAACCGGGAACCGGTCGTGGAGGTGGACCCTTGGGAACTGCCCGATGCGAAAAAAACAAAAACAAAATAGAAACAAAATAAAAAAAAAAAAACTAGAAAAAAAAAAAAACGAAAAATGAAGAATAAAAAAAAAAAAAAAAACAAAAACAAAAACTAAAAAAAACAAAAAAAAAAAACAATGAAAAAAATAACAAAAGAGAACAAGTAAAGAAAAAAAAAAAAAAAACAAAAAGAAAAACAAAATAAAAAAAAAAAAGAAAAATAAGAACAAATAAAAGTATAAAAAAAAAAAAAAAAAAAATAAAATAGCGCCCACTCTTGCGCTAGGTCCATCCCACCCGCTCCCATCTCCTCCCCTGCGCCCCCGAGTTCCCTCGTCCTGTTTTGCTGATTGTCCAGGGCCGAACTGGGGACGGAAGGGCGGCGGAAAAGCTCAACTCGCATTTTTGGACGGTTCGAACATGTATTTTGGGCCTCCAGGTGGTTTTCGGAGCCTCCAGGGCTGCTCTGGGGATGGCAGGGCGGCGGAGAAACTCAAATCGCATTTTTGGACGGTTCGAAAATGCGCTTTGGGCTTCCGGGGGTCCTCGGGGCCTCCAGGGCCGAACTGGGGACGGTGGCCGGGGCTGGGCCCCCACCGTCCTGCGCGCGCCCGGCGAGGGCGCGGCGGGCGGCGCCTTTGCCATCCCAGTTGTCCTTTCGGATGACCAATGCCAGGAGTGAGTGGTCCGTACTGTCACAGACCGTAGTCCAAGCGTTTTCTATCCTGGCGCTGAGGAATCGCCCGCTGTCGCCAGAGCCCCCTGGTCCCGGCGGCAAGATGCTGTCGACTGGTTCGTCGGGGGCACCATGCGTAACGTCTGGGCCCAGTGGATCCCCTGGCTCGTCGGGTAGCTGGGCCCAGTGGCTCCCCTGGCCCCAGGGTTCCCCCTGACTCCTGGTTGAACTGAACCTCCAAACGCCTCCATGTGATCATGTAGAAGCACACGCGCACGCGTTATCTGCAAGAATCGAGAACCGAAATGGAACCGGCTGAAACGGAACCGCCCTCTGAATGGGAACCGCCTCAAACAGCTCCGAAACCGGAACCGCACTGAGCCGAGCCAATTTCCCCCGAACCGAAACGAACCGAACGGAACCGGGGATACGCTGCCCAAGACGGTCCAAGATAGCCTCACGAGGGGCACGGAAGGGCCCCAAGACGGCCCCAAGAGCGCTCCAAGAGCGGGCCAAGAGGGCCTCAGGACGGCACTTTTGAGCCTCCGACGGGGGGTCCGAATTAAAGGACCCCCCTCTTTTTTAGCGAAAGGGTCCAAGACGGTCCCAAGAGGCCCCTCAGGCATCCCAGAAGAGCCCCAAGAAGGCCCCCTGGCCCCCCAAAATAGCCCCAAGAGGGCCCCAAAACGCCCCCAAAGAGCCCAAATAAGCTTCATTAGTACCCTAAGAGGACCTCAAGAGAGCCCCAAGAAAAATACCCAGGAGGCCCCAAGAGGGGCCCACGATAATCCCAAGAGAGCCCCAAAATGCCTCCAAGTTTCGGACCCCGCACGAATTTAAGTATAAAGCAATGCAACAGACATGACGAGTCATCGAAACACCCATCACCCCTCAGCGAAGCATCATTGTAGCTTGCACCGGCATCCATCTTAAACTTCAATACGGGAAGCCACGTGTGATCCTTGTTTTTCTGAAGATGGCCGCGCGACTGCATGCAGACGAACTCATCAAGCCCAACGTGGCGAAGAAACTCATGGCTAGATTACGGAAGCCTTTCAAGATGGGCGACAGGACGGAGCTCGCGGATAACTTGGAATAATATTTCTTCAAGCTCAAGCGGTACAAGGGCGAGACTCTGTTCGCCTACATTTCAAGAGTGCGCGCTGCAGAGCGCAAACTCAGGACGCGCGACATTGAGCTGCCGGCGAAGGTCCGGGGCTGGCCCACGCTACGACGAGGAGGATACAGCGCGGACCAGAAGGAGGAGACAGCGCGGACCAGAAGGATATCACACAGGATATGGTTTTTGAGTCGTTGGGGACAACCTTCGGGCAGGAAAGCATCGTGCACGAGCCGAATCACGCACGAAAGCAATATTTCGTCGACGAGGACACAGCAGAATACTATGACGAGGAGTTCTATACTGGCGAGCTGGAGGACGAGCCAGACGACTACGACCAGACGTACTGGGCGGAGGACGACGAGACCTGGTACGACTGCGACGAGAGCTACTACCAGCGCGACCCCAACATAGCGCAAGAGCTCGGCCCAGGTGAGCACGATGAAGTCTACGCAGCCATCGCGGCCGCCCGGAAGCGGTTCAACGACCTGAAGCTTGCGCGTGGCTTCTACCCGGTAGTGGCGATGGTAGGCGGAAGCTCAGGTTCGGCCGCCGCATCAACAAGTGGTTCACACGGACGAGGCCAGCCAAGCGGCAAAGGCACCAAAGGGCGCGGCAAGTCCAAAGGAAGAAAGGGCAGCCCAAAAGGATCATCCCCTCCAGGCGCATACAGCAGACCACGACCTACGGCATCGGATCCAATGGGAAGGGCAAGGGCAGCTGCGAAGCCAGTGCCAACATCAACACCATCGGCCCGCTGCCTACGACGCGACAAGCCCGGCCACTAGGCTAGGGACTGCACCGAGCCACCCCACAAGAAGAGGGTCCACACCGACGACGGCTTGATGGTCGATGAGGTCTACTGGGGCGACAAGTGTCATAGCAAGGCAAACGCCAGCGCCACACCAGCAAGCAACGGAGTCATGGGCTGTGGAGCGACGACCCTCATGTCCGGCTCAGGGACGATCACGGAATACGTGAGGGACTGCAGGCAGAGGGGCTATCCCATCGAGGACCTCAGGTTCTAAAAGTGCCGACGGCCTTTTCGGTTCGGCAACGGCAAGATCGAATATGTGCAGCGGTGTGGCACAATGCCTGCCAGCTTCAAGCAGAAGTCAGGCGCACTCTACATTTACGTGGCACCGGGACGTACACCCATCCTATTTCCGAGGCCGTTGCTGGAAGTGTTCGGAGTTCAGGTCGACTACGCCAAGCAGACAGTTGCGTGGAACGGTGGCGAGTTCGAGGCTTCACCTCAAGAGCACTACACGGTGGACCTACTAGAGGAGCTAGACGGAAGACGAGTCACCGCACGAACGACTTCGAGCACGAGCCCGTTGATCCAGCGCAGTTCCTGGACCCCGGCAACGAGACCATGACCGGCATCGGGTTTCTGGGCAACGCCTACCTGGCGGACTCCAGCGAGAGAGGCGAACAGCAGGAGCAACCACAACGGCGACCTCACACAGAAGGCTGTTCCCGACGCGTAGTACAAGTTAGTTGCTGCAAGGACTACGTGAAGCAGTGGCAGTGTCAGCAGCATTCCTCATGTGGCAACCTGTGCTTCACTACGACAGCCATTGAGGCAGTCGACACCACGCTATCGGAGCCACGCTGGTGCCTACTGTCACCTACGGCGGACGAGGTCAACTTCAGCGCCGACGACGACCCGGATGACGGTCAAGCAGATGTCGACCAACTTCGTTCAGAAGATTGACTCAGCCGTGAAGCAAGCCAGCGAGCAGTACTTACAGACCATGAGGAGGGTAGCTCACCAACGGTGCACTACGAGACGGACGATATGGAAAGTCTACGCTGGAGAAGCCAGACTTTCACAAGCACTTCGAGATCTAGGAGCACGCGTGGAGACGTTTGGGCTCAATGCCGGTTGGGATTTCGCACAAGAGGATCACCAGAAGGCATTCCTCGAGAAGCTGGCGGAGGAGCAGCCTGACGAGGTTCATCTGTCACCATTGTGCGGACCCTGGTCCAACGTGCAGGA